AAAAAAAGATACTGATTTTCATACTATGTCTATAAAAATGCATGGACACGGACAATATGTGGTGAGGGCCTGGGGCCAGGGGGAGGGCGTGGGCCAGAAGGGGGCTGATGGGGGGGCAGGGGGGGTACATCTGTATCACGTTCAACAACAAAGGTAAATTTTTTTTAAATGCGATTGTAATCCCATCCACAAAACTCCACTAAAATCCTGATATAGGGTGAGTAGCCCTGCATGCCTCATTTCAAAAGTTACACAGCACGTAACCAGCATAAGTCCCTGGAGATCCATCCACGTTGCTGCAGGCACCAAAGCTTGGCTCCCCTATTGCTGCCTAGCATCCCGTGATGTGGACGTAACACCATTTGCTTCACCATTCACCCGTTTGAGGACATCTGGGCTATTTCCAGTTTGGGGCCATCATAAATAAAACTGACGTGAACATCTGTGTTCAGGCTTAGTGTAAAAAATAAGTGTTCATTTCTCTGGAACGAATGCCCAAGTGTGAACTTGCTGGGATGCGTGGTAGTGAGTTCTGTAAGCAGGGGCAGAGGAGAAACTTCTAAAAAGCCTAACAAACATTGTTTAAAAACTGTCCTCAGTTTTCTGGCAGAAGAGATGAAGCCAGACTAAGAATACGATGGCCGTTCTGAGGGGACACAGGGCTTACTGCCCAGACTGAAGTAGGGGGCGACCTTCCCCTACTCCCTGTGTCCACTGAACCATTTCTCAAAAGAGGGCAAGGGAAGCTGGCTCTATTTGATGGCCTCCCTTAGAAGACTAATATCCTGTCGTGCTGTGTTATAATAATGTAAGCCCAGAACGCAATGGGTACCTAGCATAGAGCAAGTGTTTTATAAATACTAGATAGGTGGATGTATAGGAGGGGTGGATGGGTGGATGCAAAGATGGATGGATGGATGGATGGATGGATGGATGGATAAATATGCTTCCCCAAGTCTTGGGATTTAACCTGGTAGTTATGACTAAGACATAACAAGAAATCAGCACCAACATTTTGGACTTTTTGGTCCGCTACTGTGAAATCCTGCAGTTTACCAAAGTCTCTACTTCTACCACTTAACCCCTGATAAACAAAGGCTGCTTTGCCAATGCATGTGAAACAGAGGGGAGTCTTTCCACACCTCACTGCCTACTGTGTGTTCCCCACGCTCAGGGGTCTTTTATGTTGGGGGGAATCTCAAGTTGGCACCTGGTAGGGCACAGGCCCCCACCTGTGGGAGCAGACCTCTGCTGTACAACTGCTGCCTACCGCCCCAGTGAGGTCTCCCAGGCACAAACCAGTTGAGCTGGCGCATTCCCAAGGCTGAAAGCAGCACCCCTGGAAAAGACAGGGGACTGGCTCCCCTTCCTTCTGCAAATCTACCGTCTTCAGATGTTCTTCACAGCGAGGCAGGGAGAGCTGGCTGGCAGTGCCCCCGCTCACACCATCCCTACTTCTCTTCTGCTCTAGCTTTTCTGGGCTGTGGGCACGGACTGGTAATAGGATGTGCCTGCGTGGTTTCCCTCACTATCTCCGTCGGGAGAAACGAAAATGCCAGGCCCCGGTGAAGACTCCTGTTGGCAACTGTACCAGACTTTGCTGTGTATTCATTCTCCCGCCTCTGCCTGAAAACCATTGGGTGGGGCACTATTTGAGAAATAAATGAAAGGAGTCAATCCCTGACCCTGATGCATGGCATAGTTTATCACATAATCAAGGGGAGCCGCTGCTGAAAAATATGTCTGTGTAGCTCCACAAACAAAACCATCCCAGAGTCCAAACAGCTGCCTTCCAGCCTGCTTTTCCCGGGAGCAAGGCGGGAGGGGGCTGGAGGGAAGGCGTCCCTCCCTGGATCTGCACTGATGGAGGAGGAAGAGCCTGGTTCCAGGGGAGCCGCTAGTGCCTGGGATCCCTGTTAGGGATGCGGTTTCGGTAACCAGCTGGGAGGAGGGCCTGTTCCCTCCAGGCCCTCCCGAGGTTACTTTACTCATCTCAGCCAACACGCCTTCAGTCCTATGGCCGATGAGCTCAGCGGGCCGGGCCCGGACGCTAATGATGTGGGTTCAGATACAGGGAAAACTGCTCTGTGGTTAGCAACAGCCCCAACCCGCAGCCCCCACCCGGGGCGGCCTTCTCAGAACCTTCCTGCAGGGTTATTTTCCGTTCTGAGGGCTGAGAACACATGGTCTCAGGTGGTGGTGAGGCCACAGGGGTGTTGGAGAAAGGAGGAACTGTCTGACCCGCCCAGCGCACACGCCAATCATAACAAACCACAGCCCGGGCCCAGAGCCGCTATTCAGCCGCCCCTCCCAGGGCACCGGGCCCTGGCGCAGTCACCAAAACCCAGAGAGCCCTGCCCAGAGAAAAGGCCTGTAACCTCGGCCAAGGAGCTCAGTGGAAAGTTTCATTACTTGTCATGGCAAAAAGAAAGAAAGCAAGCTACGCTTCTGAAAATAAGCTGCCTCTCTTTGGAAGGAGGCAGGGCTTGCAAGGGAAGAGATGAGATTAGGTATTAGATGGAGATGTGAAGCATCCTTCAGGGTTTAAGGGCTGTAACACCAAGAATCGCTAACATCTGGCCCTGCACAGTGCTGGTCACAGTTCAGGATGCCTCCAAGGACTCGGAAATAAACGAACTCCGGTCCAAAATCTTCCACCCTAAGGACCAAAACACCCACCCGAATTAGGGCCATCTGGAACTCTTTGCCCAGGTGGTGAAAGCACAGAGCTCGTGGGGCCAAAGCTGTGGTTCATACTTATATAAGGGCCAAGCCGCCGCGCACAAAGAAAGCACTGTGCCCCGGCCCCAGCCAGAGCCCTGCTCGCCAGCTGTCCCACACATCAAACCTGTTGTCCCAAAGGGACGGGACACACACACACACACACACACACACACACACACAGATGACTCTGTGAACTCTGTCTCATTCCAAGAAAATGCAAAGCCACCTCCTACTAACTTTGGATGACATGTGTTCTGCAGATAAAATGACAGGTCCAGCCCAGTGGTTGAGTGTCAACCTATGAGCCAGAAGGTCATGGTTCAATTCCCGGATGGAGCACATGCCCGGGCTGTGGGCTTGATCCACAGTGTGGTGTTCAGGAGGCAGCCGATCGATTCTCTCTCATCACTGGTGTTTCTATCTCTCCCTTCCTCTCTGAAATATATATACATATATATTTTTAAGACAGGTCTGCCTGTGCACCCTGCCTGAGAATGAGATGCCAAGCTGAAGTAAACAAACAACCCTACTTCCTTCAAGCCCCAGCTCAAAGCCACATCGTGGAGGCCTTCCCTGTCACCGCAAGGCAGAGGTGGCCCAGTCCTTCCCCCAGCATGGCACCCAACCCACCAGCACAGGAGGTCCAGACTGAGACCAGCGTTTCGTTTCCTAGGTAACCTCTCACTCAGCTCTCCGAAGGAAGGGGCGTGTCTCCCAATCGCTTCCCCAGCACCCAGCACACACGTGAAACAGGGATGGATGGAGAAGGGCATTCATGAGAGAAGTGTTGGCATGACTGCACAGACAGCCTCTGCCCTCAGACTGGGGATCTCAGGACCGTCGCCTCCTTTCTTGAACACCATGGAGAGGACTGCTCCCAGGAGCACACGCAGACGACGGTCTCAGCACATGCCAAACGCCAGCAGGTGACAGCAGCCACTGCCTCTTGCGCGGCTGTCATCCTAAAGCAAGCATCACCTTGAAAGACATCAGACCCTCAGCACTGCCCCAAGAAGCAAATGCTACCATCCCTGCTGCACAAATGAGGAGATGAATTCAAAGGTATTAACTAACGTGCTGAAGACTATGTAGCTTAAAACCCGCAAAGCTGGGAGCCAGCCAGATGCTCCTAACCACACTCAATGCTGCCTCCCAAGATGGTAAGGGTCTTAACTCAAAGTCTGCAAGCAAATTAAACAGAGGGACATCTATATCCTGAACCATGAGAATCTTGCGAATTTCTTGTTAGGTTTGATTGAGCAATTGAATTTATACCCCACCCCCCGGGAACTGGCTTTTCAGGTCATTGCACTATGGACATTCCCTTTGCTGAAGACCACATTTCACTTGCGGTGACCACATTCCATTATCTCCCCTCCGGGTATGCATAAAGAAGTCTCCGCCCAAAAAAAAAAAAAAAAACCCCGCCAAAAGTCCTTTAAAAGCCGCTGACTCACGTCCCTGGGTGCTGGAGCCAGCCTGGTGTGCGGATGATTTAGTAAGTTCATAATCCCTCATCACTCTGACCTCCTTCCGCCTTTGGAGACCTAACATTTCTGATGATGGGAAGTGCAGGAGTTGGAAACTGAGGAAGTTTGGAAAGAGGGAGGAGCACCCAGCCAAGGATCTAGAGTTCATCTACATTTCACATCCTCAATGGGGGTTATAGCCCCTCCAATGGAGGGGAATTGGTTCTTGACGGAAAAACGTACTCTTTGTAAGTAAAAGGCATGCATACAGTACATAAACAGGTATGCAGTACATCTGTGGTTCAGGTTCCATGGAGCAGTGACAATTAGGAAAACAGCTGAAAAGGCTCCTGGAGGGGGTCACAATGAAGAAAGCTAGAGAAACACTCATCTGTGAGTCACCAACAAGTAGTAGCAAGAACAAGAGGGAAGCAAAGGCGGCCGACCAGACGGGACACGCGGGTCCGGAAACATGGTGGGGGGTCAGTGGTTGAGTATCGACCTAAGAACCAGGTCATGGTTCGATTCCGGTCAGGGCACATGCCCAGATTGCAAGCTTGATCCCACATGTGGGGCATGCAGGAGGCAGTGAATCAATGATTCTCTCTCATCATTGACGTTTCTATCCCTTCCTCTCTGTAAAAAATCAATAAAGTATATTTAAATATATATATATATATATCAAATCTCATACACACAGAAAAAAATATCTGTGACGTTTGTAAGGTGAACGAAGAATAATGAAATAGCACCGCACACCCACCAGCAGCTTAAGAAAAACAAGGCTCTCAGTGCTTTGATGGGCTCTGAGTATCTACATCCCGCAACCCCAGACCAATTCTTTCTACATCCCTCCCTAACCACTGTCCTGAGTTTTACGTTGATTTTGTATTATCTTATTATCTTATCTCTCTTTGTAAATTTGCAAGTGTGAATCTAGTTTGCACACTTCTGAGCTCTGTATACGTGGGATCCTATCTGACAGATTCCGCTACAACTTACCCGATTAGCTCAATGTCATAATCCAGAAATTCATCCATGCTGGTAACTATAGTTTTACTCCCAAACCTTTACATTCATTGGTTTGGAAAATGACTTGAAGGAAGTACATATGGGATAAGGACGTGCTACCCCTGTATCTGAAATGTCTGATCGATCATTAAGAATTCATTCTCATCTCTCCCAGGCGCATATCCATGTCTACTGATTCTTAGCTCAGGGCCCTTTCTTCACAAAAAGCAAAGGAGAAAGAGGCTTAAAAGGAAACGATGCAGAGTCATACCTTCCTTGCAATCTGGTTGGCCATTTGCGATACAGCCAGGTGGCCGAGGAGGAGCCACACCAGCCGCTGCTTCCCCCACTCCATCCAGAAGCTCCACTCGAAGTCGGTCTGGTCCTACAGAGGCCCAAAGCAGGATTGATCAGAAAGGTTCCAGGACATTCTGAGGCAGAGCACAAACTCCAGCTCATAAACCAACCAGAAAGAAGGCCAATGGGAGTCCAAACTCTACAAGCGTGACCCCCGGTCGGGGGCATGCAGGAGGCAGCCGATCCATGATGATTTACCTAACACTCCCAGCCTTGACCCCGCCAAACCCCCACCCACATATGCTCTCCCCTCCAGCGTGGCTGGTCTCACTGCTGTTCTCCTAATAAGTGTCTTTGTTAAAGCTGATTCCCAGGACCCTCTGCAGGGGTTAAAGAATTCAGTTGTTACCCAGCATCACACAGACAGTGTAAGTCATGAACTGAGCTTATCTCAGCTTAGTTATCTCTCTCCCTCTCCCTTCCTCTCTAAAATCAATAAAAATATATATTTTTTAAAAGTGGCGGGGGAGTGGAATCAGGCGGCCCAAGTTCTAGTCACATGTCTGTCGCTGTGTAAACCGACCAGGCACTTAACTTCTGGACCTGAGCCGTCCTGTGTGGGAAATAAAGGTCTGAACTAGTGCAATGTCTAAGATTCCTTTCAGAAAGTGAAGAAACTTATTTTCTAGGCTAAAGGAAAGAAATACTAAGGGTGTGGGTCACCCACGCCCAGGAATTCTGAGCCTTGACTGCCTGTGACCTTTCAAGAGAGGGCTGATCTCCCTGCTCACCACCTCGTGACCAAGCCAGGCCTCCAGGTTCCCGCCCACACTGGCAGCCTGCTCTGTTCCAGAAAGTTCCCCACTCATCCGGCCTGCCCTCTTCCCCAGAAATGGGAAGAACCCACCACAGGGTGTGGATTTACTGCACAGTATGGTCTGCCCACCTCGGGGTAAGAAAACTACCCTTAGAGAGGTTAAATATCATGCCCCAAGTCTCCCCGCCAACCATGGCAAAGCCCAAGTTCAAAACCCAGGTCCTCAGGCCGCAAAGTCTGTGTTCCTGTGATACAATACGGAGTACGGCTCTGGCTGGTGTGGCTCAGTTCGTTGGACGCCATCCTGTGCACTGAGAGGTCACCTGTTTGATTCCAGGTCAGGCCACATGCTTGGGTTTCAAGCTTGATCCCTGGTGGGGGGCATGCAGGAGGCAGCCGATGGATAATGTTTCTCTCTCATCATTAATGTTTCTGTCTCCCTCTCCCTTCCTCTGTCTCTAAAATCAATAAAAACATATTTTAAAAACAAAGAAAAGATAAAGGTTCTAGGAAGCGTGGACTCAAAAGGAGTGAATCCATAGATAACAGAAAGACTGCAACATCTGAAATGCCATAGGAATCAACCATCATACCCTTCTCCTCAAAATACTAGTAAAAGGTACGTCTGCTCCATACGGCAGACACCACCACTTGACTCAATCAACATTCCAACCCCTTGCTGGAAGGACTTCCTATATACATTAGTGGTTGGAAAGCAGAAAACTACATTTCCCAGAATCCCCTGCAGCTAGCACGTCTGCACACATCGCATGACCTTGCTCTGGTGAACACAGGAAGAAGCGAAAGAACCTAAAGAAACATGGGCTGTGAGACTCTCCTGAAAGAATGGTGGCGGAGACGCAAGGCCCCGGCCGGCCGGCGGTGCACAGCTTCCTGGTGGGGCAGTTTGGGGAGTCCCCAGGCCGTGAACTGGGCAGCAGCCCCGTGTTGCAGGCTACTCTGGGAATGGCTCCTGGAAGCTCACTTTAGTGCCTGTCCCCACAGTTTTTTTGACTATTCTGAGAGCTCCTGAAATCCCCACAATAAATTCCTTTCTGTTTAAACTGGCTGGAAAGGAATCTGTTGTCTCTGTGGAAACTTGACCAACATACTTTGAAGTTTTGTTTGTTTGTTTTGATCAACAAACTTTGGAAAGAATTTTTCTTCTGATTGCAATCCAGCTTTAGTTTCACAATAGAAGCATTACGAAAAGAATTCACTGTGTAGACAACTTCTGAAATAAGTCTGTTCAGCGGAGGAAAACGAAATGGAGGAAGACAGCAGCTAGGTCAGTCCGAGGGATGCTCTGGAGCTGGACCGTGGAGGCACCAGTGAACCTAGGTGTGCGGTTCAAACCCAGTAGAAAAGGCTCCACCTTACTGACTGTCGGGCAGCATTTTTCACTGGCATGCCTCTTTTCCCCTCAGACAGAGCAGACAGTGCGGAGATGAATAGATGTACTGTTTTCCTCATCCTTGTCTCCGGAATTTTGCAACAATAACAAAAGAAACACAACGGAAGTACTAGACATTTTTGTGTTATCTATTTCCGAAATGACATCATGTGCACAGTATTTTACTTTGAGACCAGACCTAATTCCCAGTCACACTGAGCAAAAGTAATCTGTTTACAAGGCTCCCAGGAAACCTTTACAAGGTACTTGAATCCGGAAACATTTCCCTGCGCTTTCAGAGGCAGCGCGCTCTCCTTAATGGCCCATAAATCTCCCACGGAGAGCGGGAAACGGAGGGCGTATTTACATGAATTCTGCACAGGAGCCGCGCTGCTCTCTGGGTGAACTCAGCCCAGTGATTCATGTAGCAATGATTGCAAGAGTTTGCTTTTCTTTCAACAGATGCCTTGCTCTTTCTAAAATAAGTTGAACTAAATTAGTTTACTGCTCACAATTTTCGGAGACAACACTCCTTCCCCAGCCAACATTTCCTCAAAGACAAAATGTTTTCATTAATGAAACTCCCCCCACGCCCCCCCCCTGTAAATAACAAAATCTCTGCTTAAGTGTCTTCCCCATCCTGTACAGGTGAAGGTGAAGAAGATACTCACGGGGGTCAGGATGCCACCAACAGGGCTAGCATAAGAGCACATACCATCCCAGTCTCTTAAAGGGCCCTCTTAAAGGGCCCGCAAATCGGCCCAGGGTAGAAAGGGGGCAGGGAGGTGTTTTGTAGAAGGAGGAGAGAAAACTTCTCGAGGACTTAGTTAAATCAAGAGAGCCTAATTGATGTGGGGAAGGTCTCTGAATCTCTTCAACCTAACTGCCAACCTAAACTCAGTGACTTCCTCTGGCTGCACCGCTACCTACCTACCTCCTAGAATTCACTCCAGATTATGCCAGACATATGCGTATACTTGAGCAAGTACAGATTCTGTCTCCCTGTTTTGCCTATTCCACATTTCTCCCCTTCTTCCTAGAGCTTACAAAGAATGAATCACATTCTAAAGGAGAAATACTAAATTCTAGTACGAAGGCAAAGGCACAAAAAAAGGTAGTATTTTCCCCACATCCTCAAACCGGGAAAAAAACAAAACATTTTCTACAAGGTACATATATGGAGAAATGAGGTGCAAACAGTTAATAAGGCTATTCAATAAGTTAGGGATCCTGACCCCCCCAAAAAAATGTAACAGAATATGATGACTAGATAGCAAATGACATAACCTCGTAAGATTCCCCAGCTACAAACCATGCTAATAAAGTCTACATCCCATTCGCGTCACTTCTGCAGAATACAGAAAGGCTAAGCGAGTCACAGTAACCTGGAGGAAAAATGGTTCCCAGGCCTCTGGGGACCATGGTTCCTGAAACGGTCCTCACACTCAGGAGAATCTGCTTTCTGCCTACAAAGTCTTCACACATTCAAGAAGACTAGTTCATATATAACATCTCTGCAGCGGGCGAACACGAGAAACTGGAACTCCAGATGGAACCCCAAAATGCTGAAGGTCCCCGAGGCAGAAGTGAGTGATAAAAGAAAGAAAGGAAAAGCTCACATTCTTGCCATCCTTTCAGGGGGGAAGAGGGGAGCTCTTCATAATCTCAGATACCATCGTTTTTGTTGTCCTTAATCCTCACCTGAGGATATTTTCCCCAATGATTTTAAGACAAAGTAAAAGGGAAGGAGCGAAGGAGGGATTGAGGGAGGGAAGGAGGGAGGGAGAGAAATCTGAGAGACACATGGATTGGTTGCCTCCAGCACATGCCCGGACTGGGGCCGGGACCAAACCTGCAACCCAGATACATGCCCTTGACTAGGAATCAAACCCAGGACCTTTCCATGCGCGGGTCTATGCTCTAACCACTGAGCACACCAATCAGGGGCACAGGTACCATTTTTCTCCTTGAATCTTACACACTGGGTGGAAGACCAGGAAAGTGGGCCGAGTATGTGAAAGAACTCTCCCACACATCATTTTAGTCTGTCCCCTTGACCCATCAGTTCGCTATCCGAGCTCTCAAAGAGAGAGCTCCCTGTGAAATAACAGAAAATATGTATACTGGTGCACCCGATGACTGGCACCGCACTCCTCAGACCCTTGGAATTTCCTGTGACAAGAGAAATAGGAGCATCTTTTGTTCTCCTAAGCCCTTTGGGATTTCCTGGGTGATAACACTGTGTTTTGTTGGAATGAGGTGAGTCTGGGTGGGCTCCTGGATGGGGCTGTTCACCAGAAAGGTCAAGCCATGGGTAGAAGCTTGGGGTTTTCAGTGCCACACTCCATTCTTCTGAGAGGGGAGAGGGGTTGAAATCCAGTTAATGATTGGTCATGCCTCGTGATAAAGTACATAAAAGTCCTCAAAATGCAGGGTTCAGAGAGCTCCCGGGCTGGTGAACAGGTGGAGGTACTGGGAGAGTGGGGGGGGGCCTGGAGAGGGCCTGGAGGCGGCCAGGAGGCTCAGCACCCTTCCCACCTCACCCTGTGCACCTCTCCCATCCGGATGATCATCCGTATATTTTATCGCATCCTTTTACAATAAACTAAACAGGAAGCAAAATGCTTTCCTGAGTTCAGTGAGCCACTCTAGCACATTAACTGGCCCTGAGGAAGGGCCATGGGTACCACCTGGACGTGCAGTTGGCATCCGAAGGCAGGGGGGTGGGAGCATCTTGTAGGACTGAGCCCTTCACCTGTGGGATCTGAGGCCATCTCCAGGGAGAGTGTCAGCTATTGAGTTGAACTGCAGCTCACCTAGCTGGTGTCGCAGAATTGCTTGGTATAGGGAAGCCCCCCACACAACTGGTGTTGGAAGTATAGCGTGAGAGTAACGGAGAAATGGGAGGAGCAGAGTGTGGTTCTCTATACATGTCCACCCCAGAGCACCTCTTCGGAGAGTCGGCCATGGTGGGAGCTAAGGTGCCTCCAAGGCTGTGGACGGAGACCACCAAGAACAAGAACCAAGGCTCACCATGCCTCCAACCTCCATCGCCCGCAGCACACTGCCTCTGCCGTCTCTCTGCAGAAACGTACCCGTTTGCTATTAAAATAACTTGTCTTTTCTATGATGTCGGAAACTAACTTTAAAATACATCAACGCAGAGACTTCTGGTTCCCGGCGAGATAAAGTAACCACCGTTCTCCCCAACCTTCACCACCAAGGACAGCTAAAAGCCCTGAGTGTAATTCTAAGATAAACACAGGAAGACCCCGAAAGATGGCAGAAGGAAGACAGACTGGCTAGGGACCTCAGCACTTGGGGAATGACAATGAAATAAAATATAATAAAAAGCTCACTGGATAGACTTACTAGCAGAGGTAGACGACTCAAGAAAGAAGCATTGAACCTAAAGATGAGTCAATGGAAATCACACAATCTGATAACAGAAAAAATAGGCTGAAAACATAAATAAACAGAGCCTCGGAAATCTGTGGTACAATTATAAAGATCTAACATTCATGTGATTCGTGAAATCCTAAAAAAAAAAAGAGAGAGAGAAAAAACGTGGGGCTGAAAAAAATATTCAAAGAAATAACGGCTAAAAATTTTGCAAATCTGGCAAAAGGCATAAACCTACAGATTCAAGAAGCCGAATGAACACTAGTCAATTTGTATGTACCAATTAAAAGGCAGATTGGCGGAACGGATTTTTAAGAAATGATCCAACTCTATGCTGTCTGTAAGAAATTCACTTTAAATACAACAATATAGGTAGGCTGAGAGTAAAAGCATGCAGAAGGATACATACTCCACAAACATCCATCAAAAGAAAGCAACAAGAACCCAAAAATAGAGCCACACAAGTCTGGTCAACTGATTTTTGACAAAGGTGCAAAAACAATTCAATGGAAGAATCATCTTTTCAACAAAAGGTGCTATAACAAGTGGCCATCCATACGCAAGCAAAAAATAAAATAAAATAAAAATAAAACCCAGCCAGTGTGTGTCAGTGGTTGAGATTGGGTCTGAGGTTTGCCTTCATGAACGAGGGGGAACTCTCTGTGGTTCTGTGCCTTAATCGTTGGAGGTTGGGATAAGGAGAGGAGAGGACCGCACCCAGAGTCCCAACATACAGAAGGAATAAAACCAGTTTCGGTGGTTGAGCCAAAATGAGGTTTTGAGCCCGGTCGGCCTGACCTCTGCTTCGCCCTCTAATGGTGGCTCCAGAGGCACCCAGTGACTACTAAGGTATCTGTAGAATCTCAAGGGTGAGGACTCCGGCTCATTTGCATACCCATAATACCCTGCACAGAGTACAATCCTTTTCAAGTTTAAAAGACGTTTTTTTTTAACTTGTCATTTCTAAATGCAAGAAACTTACTTGAAAAACTTCTTGTGCAAACTTTAGGCAGAAAGTACCTCTAGCCCTAAAACATCACCATAACTGAACTAGGAGTTGTAGTTACTGGAGGAGGGAACTTGGGAGGCACCAAGCATACTCTGGTTTCTCTTCAGATCGCATAAATCTTTCGCCTTTTACTAAAGATTTCCGTGGAGAGGAACAATTCTGAGTTTATACTCAATTTTTTGAGGCCTTGCCTTGGCAGGGCTAATCTTATGGTTATAAGAAAAGACGCCTCCTAGAATAGAACGCTTCTCTAGTTTCAGTGCCGGTGACTAGGGCTGGCTGTTGTCACGTGGTCTGGGGCTCCGCCCACTTCTATGTTAGGCAATGCCCCACAGGAGCAGGGTAAGTTGGCCTGCGCTGGTTTCGGCTACTGGCCTCGTGAATATCTACATGGGTGACCGAATCGGGCCTGAGATTTGCCTCCGTGAAACCTGGGTGTAAAGTCACGCTGGACAACTCACCCACGTGGAACTTAGCAGCGACTGTCAGCCTGACAGTGGCTTCAGTCAGTTCCCCGCCCACAGAGGCCACCCTTCACATCTCCCAGGGGCGCCGGGCGCTCACTCTTATCTGCAGCTGCTTCTACTTTCTTTCTAACAGAGACAGCAACTGTCAAGACATGATTTTTAAAAGTAATAACCTTGTGAAGAATGTTGACCGGCACCGCTTTTAGGGAATGTGAGAGAAGGAAATGGTTTCCCCGCCTCCAAGTCTCTCCAAATTTCAGCTCCAAGTCACGGCTCAACCCTCTAGCCTGGAATAACCTCTGCTCCTTCTCTCCGAGTCCCACCTGTCAGATCACTTGTACGGGACACGTTGTAAAAGTTAACTCTTCCCCCTTCTTCCGGGGATGTTCTTCACACCGAATGTGCCCAAACGGGGAGCCCACAGCCCAGAAGCAGTGACTTAGCATTAGACAGACCCTACTCAGAAAGCTGGTCCGAGACACGGTTTCAATTCAGATCACTTCCATACTGGCATCTAAAGCTGCACAGGAGTTTATTAGCATGAGGAATGTTAGGAATAAATAGAGGGTAAAGCGGGTCAACATGAGGGAGGAGACTAGACTTTAGGTGGTGAGCGCTCAGCGGGGTATACATTTATTATGGAGACTTGAAATGTATATGATGTTATTAACCAATGTTACTGCAACACATTTAATTATTTTATTTTTCCATCACCATTTATCCCCCTATACCCTCTTCCACCTCCTCCCACCCCTATCCCCCCCCCTGCACAATCACCACACTATGGTTCATGTCAGTGAGTTCTTTCTTTTTTCCTTTTTGCTCAATCCCTCCACTACCACCCCCAGCACATGCACCCCCACCCCAAGCAGCTGTCAGCCTGCTCTCTATCTATGAGTCTGACTCTTTTTTGCTTGTTAGTTCAATTTGTTCATTAGATTCCACATAAGAGTGAAGTCATATGGTACTTGTCTTTCTCTGACTGGCTTATTTCACTTAGCGTAATGTTCTCCAGGTCCATCAATGCTGTCAGAAAGGGTAAAATTTCCTTCTTTTTTTATGGCTGAGTATCCCATTGTGTAAATGTACCCCAGCTGTTTTATTCGCTCATCTACTGATGGGCACTTGGGCTGCTTCCAAATCTTGGCTACTGTAAATAACGCTGTAATGAACATTGGGGTGCACATATTCTTTCAAATGTATATAATGCTATTAACCAATGTTACCCCAATACATTTAATTTTTTTAAAGAGAATTTACATATGAAAGGAGTGGTGTTCAATTTTCTCCAGCTCCAATACCCTCCTAAGGATGAAGCAGAAGAACCCTCAAAGCTTCAGGGATGTGGGGAGCCACTTATTGCAGGGGTTCTCAAACTATGGCCTGCGGACCACATGCAAATACAAATATTGTATTTGTTCCTGTTTTGTTTTTTTACTTCAAAATAAGATATGTGCAGTGTGCATAGGAATTTGTTCATAGTTTTTTTTAAACTATAGTCCGGTTGTTACTGGAAATTGCCTGCCTAAGGGCTATGGGTGTACCCCATACTGAATAAAACGATGGCAAGGCCTGAGCACAAGCAGAGTCCTTCCTCTTGGGATGGGCTCTCGCCTGGCCCCCCAATTTCCAAATTATTATTTCTTGTCTCATCTCTGTCATTTGTGTGTGGCCTCTTCTCCAGAGCCCAGACCCTGAACCACGCAGGACATGGGATATTCACACAGGGACACGTGGAGGCAGGAAGGAAGAATTTCCTATGTAGTTGCCAACAGTTGCTGTAGGGATGTCTGGGGCCACATTTAATTCTAATAGATACGGCTGGGTCAGGAGAAAGTGCCTGAGCTTTCCGAGGATGAAATCTGTACCCACTGATAAGGTCAGACAATCAGATTTCTGGAGTCTTGAGAAGAAAACGGGACAGGAAGATAGAGACCCCGGGGAGTTCTTTACCCAACACGGCACTCACACCTTTTACAGCACGGAGGAAAGATCCCTCATTCCCAAGTGCTGATGATACTACGCCTGGGTCAGTGCCAAGACAAAGGGGATGCAAAATACTGAACCCGGCTTGAAAACTGAGAAGGCTTATCCTTTAGCCACTGTGTACCTTCTTGAATCCTCCAAGCAAAGTGCCAATCGCCAGGTCAAATTCTTGGTCCAATTGCTCTTCATGTTCTGACAAGAAAAACAATGGCCATTAGTTCCAAACCCAAATAAAACTGGTTGGCTTAATAGCAGAGGCACTAAGAGAAACTGGAATGTGTTCTGGAAAAGCCGCCTGTGGACTGAGCTACGGGCATGGAAACGTCAGGCTCCTGGATCCCCCTCTCCAGTTGTCTGTGAGCTGAGTTCCTGGAAATCCGTGGCGGGGCTGCTGGAAATGTCCCCTCCCACGTGGAATAAGGCTCACAAAGGGAGAGGTGTCCAGAGAGAAAGCCTCCAGCACAGGGACCGCCCTGGACGGGTTAATGCAAATGCCCCACTTGTTCAGGTGGTAAAATATTTTTAAATATATTTTTATTGACTTCAGAGAGGAAGGAAGAGGGAGATAGAAATATCAATGATGAGTTTGATCGGCTGCCTCCTGCATGCCCCCTACTGGGGATTGAGCCCACAACCCAGGCGTATGCCCCTGACTGGAATTGAACCCGTGATCCTTCAGTCCGCAGGTCAGCGCTCTATCCACCGAGCCAAGCTGGCCAGCGCTACAATATTTTTATATATAGTTTTTCAATCCTCACTTGAGGATATGTTTTTATTGATTTTAAAGAGGAAGGGAGAGGGAGAGAGAGAGAAAGAAACATCTATGTGAGAGAGGAGCATTGATCAGTTGCCTCCCACACGTGCCCCGAATGGGGATCAAACCCACAAGATGGGTATGTGCCCTGACCGGGAACAGAACCCACAACCTTTCAGTGCATAGGATGAGCCCTACTGGCCAGGGCCAAAAAAAAAATTTTTTTTAAACAAATCATTCCACACATTGATGGTGATCAAGGCCTCATGATGTGAGATAATGCTAAAAAGATTATAAAATGGAATCGTGTAAGAGTAATAAGTATGTTTATAAGACAAACAACTCAACTGATATAAAACAAAATATAATAAAATCTTCACTCAAATACGTTTTGAGGGTGTATAATAACCAAGCAGGGTGTGAGATGCTAGGAATGAAACAGAAGAAGACTGGCATGTCTTTTGCCCTCCTGGGGCTCACTGCACATTAGGTAAGAGAGACACATGAATAATAAAAAATTACAGTAGTGCTGATGAGTGCCATGACACAGGAATGAGGAGGTGGAGTTCGAGTCTGGGGTGTCTATGTGATAAACAGTAGGAAGCTGGATGGGTATGGGTGGTGCTCAAGAGGGCCCTAAGTTGAAGATAAAGACCCAGGAGACCTCAGTATAAGGGTAGTGATGAAGCTTCCAGAAAGACTGACATCACCCAAAAGACACAGAGTGCACAGACAAGAACGAGGAGAACCACTGCTACTGAACCAACAAAAGTACAGAACCACAGAGTAGCGACTTTTCCCATTGTCTTTTATTGAAGAGACTGTCTTTACTGCATTATATGCCCTTGTTCTTCTGTCAAATATGGATTGAGCACCCTAACCGGTTTGGCTTAGCAGATAGAGCATCGGCCTGTGGACTCAAGGGTCCCAGGTTCGATTTCGGGCAAGGGCATGTACTGCGGGAATATCCCCAGTAGGAGGTGTGCAGGAGGCAGCTGATCGATGTTTCTAACTCTCTATTCCTCTCCCTTCCTCTCTGTAAAAAATCAATAAAATATATTTAAAAAACACATTTTAAAAAAAAAGAGTGTGCGACTCAAACTTAATCACGAAACGATGCTGATCTAGAGTAGAACCAAGGGGCAGAGTCACACACACTAGATGCCAACAGCAGCCCCAACCTCAAGCCAAAGGCAACACTGCCCCAGGAACGACAGAAGAGGGCGGGGTACTGAGCACTGGGCCAGGGGACCGCATGGCACAGCTCTGCCACACACTCCAGGATGTGTGCTGGAGGCGTGTGGTTGCAGCAGAGCCCTGGTCCTTCCTGCCACAGCTGCACACATGCCACATTGGGTGTGTGCGTGTGTGTCTGCGTGTGTGTGTCTGCATGTGCACGTGCATGGACGAACGTGCTGTGTCGTGCACAAATTCAAGTCAAGGGAACAGCCTGCAAACAAATAGCAAGACACTGCAATCCAGCAAAGACATACAGGAACCTCCTAATTCATTAAGGCAAACTGGGTGGAAAACCTCTCTGCTTCTTGTCTTCTTGGTTTGGGCTTCACTTTCATACACTGAGAAATCTCCAGAAACATCAGAATTATAGAGAATTGAAACAAGGCAGAAACTTGAGTTCTTTTTTTCCTCCTTTTTAAAAAGAGTACAACCAGAAGCAGTGAAATTTTCCTTCTAAGCACCAGGTAAACTGAAGCTGGCGCACACCGCCCTCTAGTGGGAAAAAGGAATTCCGTGCAGACTGGAGAATTATGAGGACATCCTGCCAGCAGGGGCGCTGTCCTACTGAAATACTATCTCACATTTGTAACTTTAAAGTTTCTAGTAGCCACGTTTTTTAAAGTTTTTAAAGAGTGAAATTAATTTTGTACATTTTCGTTATCTCAATCTATCCAAAACATTATTTCAATATGGAATCAGGATTAAACAACTATGGATGACTTACTCTGCATTCCTTTTTCTTAATCATGAATTCTTCCAAGTCCAATGTACATGTTATCCTAACAGCACATCTCAACTGGAAGTGGCCACGTTCCAAGTGCTCGTTAGCCACGTGTCTAATGACTACGGTAATGGACAGCGTAGCTCCAGGCCAAAATGCCCCCTCCCGCTTTGGAAAATTTCTACAAACCACCCTCGTCTGACCTCGTGACACAAACAAATGTCATACAACACACATGTAAAACCGCAATTTAAACCCACTTACACCCCCTTAGGAAATCAATTCGGTTGACATGGGAGGATGGAGGCTGAGACTTGCAGCAGGAGCTCCTTCCCAGAGGAGCCAAGGCCCCAGAACTTCTCTCGGTAAACCTTCTGGGCAGGCATCCCATGCTCTCACTCTTCGGGGGAGAACAGCTTTCATCGTAAGCCACATACTACACTCACGCAGGAGGAGCCTTCCCTGCCCAGGGAAATTGTCTCCCCACCACACAGGCTTGACGGTAGGCGCCCTGGTCCCATTTTCCCACAATGCAGTGCTGCACCAAAGCACCTGAGCGCATAGAAACGACACAGTTTCTGCTGGTGAGCCCTCCCGGCTAAATCAGCTGTGGATTCTCCTCTCTCCAACCACCACCCAACAAGAGGATACATCAAAACCCCACCCTACCTACTGGGTGAGAGAATTTGCATGTTAATCGCTGCCACTGGGCCCTGGTGGTGAACCATTTACTTAAAAGCTCTAGCTAACCTTCCCCTTTCACCCTCAGCACTTTGATGGGGTGGGGAGGGGGAACTGGAGGGCAGGATCAGTGACAGGGGAGGGGGGCAGGACACAGTCACATGCCCTCCTGTGATACAAGCCACCCCCACTCAGTAGTGGCTTAATGCATCCTGAGGCTTCTATGCATCTGAAAACTCTCATCAGCTCCTACTGGTTCTTTGGTTTTCTAGGGAGCCTGCAGGTATAGAAGACTGTGCAGTAAATGAGAGTAGAGAAAGGGAGCAGGAAAACGACTTCTAAAGATGAGGCAACGGAGTGGTAGGCAACTCTCAGATATTCCTATAGAACATCGCGTAGAAGATGGGTGACAAGGCGCTGGCTTTCCCACATTCTTGAGGTGTGGGGGCTCCTTCTCTCCTGTCTTCCAACTGCCACTCAGGGAATGAAAAAGTGATTTAGAAATCCCCCAAGTAAAAGGAGACCATATATGTAAGTAGGATGCAAGGCAATAAAGGACATAAAAGGTCTCAAACCTCCCAACAGGGACTCACCTAAGGAATTCTGGGTCTGTCGAGGCAGATTGCCAGGCGGGGGGTGGGGGTTGGAGGGGATTAGCATGGGAGTCCTGAGGGCTCCTGGGAGAGGAAGACAGGTGTGGACTGAGTTGGAAATGATCCACCAGAGAGGAAGCCATATGCTCTATACACATTCTTTGTATTTGATGGAACATGGAGCATGATGGGCTGGGGGAGCAGGGAGTGAGGCGCTGTGGAGTCTAAAGCTACGGTTGCCTTTAAATGCCCTACGGCCAGGCCCTGGCCCAAGTCATTGTGCGAGCTTTATGGAAAGCATTAGAAAGCAGAGTCCCTGAAGGCCGACACTCCCCTCCCTTGAGGGCCAGTGGGCATGAGAGGAAACCGCCAATGTAGGCCCGAGAGGAAGGGGTGGGCTGCCAGGCTTGGAATCCCAGGAGGAAAGCGACTGTAAACCAGGCTGCTGCTTCCCATGACCCTGGCCTCCGCTAACCAGGGAAACAGGGTCAAGTATAACATGAAGGACCATCACACCGGTCACCAGGGCCTCGGCTGGGCCACAACACCTGCGACGAAGCTGGCCATCAAGACAGCCTGCCCAGCGCTGGACCCCTGCAGGGCTGTGCACCGGGTCCCTTCACAGAGGACAGTAAACTGAAGGGCCCAGCTGGCCCAACCCACCGTCAGCCAGCTCACCTGGCGCCCAGGCCAAGGTCATCTACTCAAGGACAGGACCCTGAACTGCAGCCCCGGCCCCCGCCCCAGTCTCTGCACCCAAGCCCCCGGCTTTGAGAGGGACAGAGGCAGAATGGGGGGAAGACTCAATCCTGGTGATGCATGAGGAGGGGGAGGCTGAGGGCCGCGGACGCCCAGCTGTGCTTCCCAAACCCGACCTCTGCCATTTTAAACGACCACACCTACAGATCACCTGCCTGAAGAGAGAGCCCGGACTACCCCGCTGAATATCTCAGCTCTTTCACCCTCTATCCCTGCTTTCTGATCTACGCTCAAGCCCTGCCACTCGCCCTTGGCACTCTGCACTCCGATCCTAGTGAGTGGTTTGCCGTTCCCAGATCATGCTATGCTTTCTCACACCCAGGGGCACTGCACACCCTTGTCCACTGGCCTGCAAACTCCTCTCTGTCCACAGGTCCTCTGCCCTTCTCATGTGGCGGACTCCTGGTCTTCCTTAAGGCAAGGCTTCCCATCGCCTCTGGGAAACTGTCGCTGAGTATGGAGATCACTCATGGTGCCTCCAAAATTCTTCCTTCCACAGTATGGAGAGTTTTAAGTAGCACCTGGCCACCAAACTAAAGATTGTATTTCCCTGCCTCCTGGTGTGGCCACAGAACTCAGTTCTGGCCAACTGGGTGTGAGAAGTGACAAGGTGCCCTTAAAGGAAAGGAGGGTGCTCAATCCCATCCAGTGGGCGGGAATGTGGACTTGATGATGACTCCTCCTCAAAATACACACAAGAGCACTAAAGGCAGCAGAGCGAGAAGCGGGAAGGAGCCTGGGCCTCCAACACCATGGGCTGCCTCCAGGTGTCTGCAAGGAGGGATGGTGAGAGAGAAATGTCAGAAGTCACTG